GGAAATTTGAGAGTAGAATGGACAAGTGTGAAGGAAAGTGGGTCTATTTTAAGACATACATACCAGATGTTATGAACAAGTCACTCATTTTCAGACAGCAGAGGTTCAGATACAGATCTTGAAAAAACTACTTATGCAGAAAAGAACAATATGTATACATTTATCGAAATTAAATGTAATAAGTGAGTGGATATGAATGTAAGTAGGCAGTTGTTGTGGATGATTTCCAGGTGGCCGATTTTGGATGCAGCTTCAGAAACAGCACTTGCAAATAAAGATGCTCATTTGCATAACACGCCCTCGAAGTGTATCTCAAAATTTGCAAGACTATCTGAGCCACATCACGGCTTGCAACTATCTTGAACTGCTAAGTGATGAGTGAGGAGGGAAGTGGGGGGAAGAAAATATACACCTAGGAAAGTTACTGACAAGTATAAATATACCTCAGTTTACAGGTTAAATCTGTGAACGCCATGCTTAATACATTTCTGTCACCACCTTAGTAAACTGTTGTTCTGCAAGTAGGTTACTGTCATACAGTGTCAGTCAGACTAGCTTTGAACACCCTGTGAATTTACTAGTACGATTACTGCTTTATTAGCATGCATGAAACAAGTGCCACTGTTCCTTTCTGTCAAAGTTCATTAAAACAGAAATGCACTGGCAGCTGTCATTTCCTAACTAGGCAAATATTTTTAAAATACAGCATTTTATATACAGTGTGAAACTGGTACATTGGATGCATTTTTATAATGTTTTGTGCAAGAAAAATAATTCCAAACACTTTGTTGTGTGCTAGAAAGTACTTGCAAATTTATACAAATATATATTACCCAATTGTACAGTCAGAGTTGGATTCTACTCTTCACTCAGAGCTTATTATCTTACTTGAAAAAAATACAAATCAAAAGGAATATTTTTGGTTTTGTTTTTAAATCTCGTGACTAAAAGCAGAAGTACAGAATATCTTCTAAGAATGCAAAACATAGTTTTCCTATTTCAGAATTCTTTAGTGGCTTACTTAATATACTGTGTTGCTTACATCACATACATCTGCATTTGCAAAACTTGTCTTCAAATTGGACTCTTGATCAAACTGCTGTATAACAAAAGCAGATGAATGCATTAAGACTGTACAGTGTGACCTGATGGAAGATCAGCCATTACTCCTATGTTGCAACATGGATCTAACCCACCCGGAACTTTCTAACTCTGCCCCAGTATTCTCTAAAATCAACAGAAACTTCTTTTGCTTAAGTGTTTTTCTGACTTTAAAAAAAAAAAAAGTCTTTTCTATTATTGATACTCAGAAAGCATCAGAGCAACAGCAGGCATCTCCATACAATTACACCTTAGGAACAAGGGATCGGTGAGGTTTTGCCAGGTGGTGCAAACAGCAGAAATGTCTCTCAGCTGACTAACCTCCGATGCCCGATCCCACTCTTTCGTCTTGCCATTCCAAGTTAGAAAGATATTTGAAACAGAGCCACTGAAGAGTGTTTCCAAAAGGCACTGCAGCCATGGACTCCGAGAGATAACAGATTAGCGCTGTAACAGGAAACAAGGGAATCAGGCGGAAAGGGCTGTTGAATGTTTCGATGTCGTAGCTCAGTTCCTAAGTGCAAGGCTGAACCCTACAAAGAACGAGTGGTTTTGAAGTCTGCCTCAACCGTGCTGTAAGCGCTGTGACGCTGTCAGTGTAAACAGGAGTCCCAGCACATGCTGTGGTTTAGCTAAAACGTTCCCTACAACTGTATTTAACTTTAAGCCAACTTCCTTTTCAGGTCACTATTAAATCATTTTAATTAGGGATTAGTTACATGGTATTTACACTAATAACAATGTGAACCTACTACCAGGCAAGTTTAGCTACAGTGTTTTAAGTCTAAGGACGTAAAACCTCCTGTAATTGTGTACCTGACACAAAGCTGCCTGACCAACTACAAAATGCTAAGCTTGGAGAATCACTTCAGTACCAAAACTGAAGACATTCTTGGGTATTTATCTACTGCTTTCATGACCATCATATCCAGACAGTGATCTGTTAATGTGCTTGTTACCAACACTCATCAAAACTGGGCTAGCACATGGCTACACCAACTGATGCTTTTGCTGTGAAGTCAGATAGAAGGCTCCCAGGAGTGGCTGCAGGTTACCTCTTTTAAAAGGCAGCCAGACAGCTGCTAGGTACTCCCCAACCTCTGTTCCACTTAGTAATGAAACCATCAGAAAGATGAACTGATATTTTATAACCAAATTAACTTTTACATTAATGTCTGTTACTCCAGTGAAAATAAGTCACACATGGAAATGGCTAAGTTCATTGCGCTCTGACAGTTAATTCTATTACATAGCTTTCTTTAAAGCTGGTCAGAGTTCCTCTGTCTGCTGCTGCTCCTTTCTGTTCTTCCTTATGAAACAAACATGATGACAGCAAGAAATGGGTACTTCCACTTTACATTTACACGGCATCTCTAACCCAAAGACCTTTTCCCATTAATAAAATATCAGGCCACCACCAAAGGAAATGTTTCTCACCATAGCACTCACAAAACCAAACAAGCTACAGATATCATTCTACAGTGCCTTTCAAATTATGGAACACAGATGTATGTTTAAATATGAAAAATCTTTTGGGCAAGAAGGAAACAAGACCATTTCTGTAGAGTCCTTTTAGTTAAACACCATCGCTCGCTTTGTTAGTAAATGAGTCTTAATTTCCACAAACAAGCTGTGTAGATCTCCCACAAACCTAACTGATTCCCAGGTCCTCATGAAAGGCAAAGGCCTTCTGTAAAACAGTGCAGCTCCGGAGTCCCATGTGGGTTTTTGTTTACGTACACATGCATACAACCTGATACATGCACCCAAACACACGCATCTGTACTTTCTGCTCTCTCCGTCTTCAGAGTTACAGGCACTGATTGAGAAAAAGAAGCAAGAAATCTGTCCCAAGGCCTTTTTTTCAAAGGGAGCTTTAATGAGCTCTGAAACACTTGCAGAGCAACCTTATTTTTGAGCCTTGGAGCCTTGACTCTATAGGACAGAAAGAATAACTCCTCAGGTAACCTGCTCTTTTGTGTCAGATGGGAGTGGAATGTGCTTGGCGCAAAGGCAAGAGCCTGGCTCCAGAAGTTGCAGGGACCAATGCATCTCACATGAGGCAGCCAGACTCCTCGCTGAATCATACTCTCCTTCACCCCGAGGAGTCTTTCTTACTGGCTCTTATTAAAATACAGTTTTTGCTCTGCATCACTGTCGCTAATGGCTTTGATCTAGACATGAATAACACCTGCACAACATCCATATTCACTAGGCTACTGTGAGAGTCTGTCTAAACCCAGCTAATAATTTACATGGAAATTGTATCTACCAGAGGGAGCTCGTATGGCCAATAGAATAGAACAATATTGACACAGGCAAGAAAAGTTAATTAAACCTTTTAGATGAGGGCTACGCAGTTCAGACAAGATAAAACTCTTCGTTCCACAGGCGTGGGATTTTACAAGATTCGGCGGTAACAAATTACACAATTGCATGTGCTTTTAGGATCTGCTCTTCCAAACTGAGTTGTAGAAATGCTTCTGCTGTACATAACATGTTTGAGAACAATAAAAGACATAATAAAGACAAAAGATAGAAATGTTTTCTAGCTTTATCATCATGAGAGCTTTGAAGCGTGCTGCTGCATCACTGAAAGAAGAAAAAAACCCCAACCTGATCCAGACCCCCAACCTGTGATACTCAAGGCTTTGGAATGAAACCAGTAAGTCTCTTTACAGAGACTACTCAAGACCAATAAGGTAAATTTTGAACTGATTCTCATCAATGTTAAGCAAAAATTAGTAACTCAACACAATTCTGAAAGTGCAAAATGTGCTTAGTTTTGAGTAACCTCAGTGACTTCACTAACAGCAAAGCTAAAATAAAACTAAGCAGTTAGAGGATCAGAAGAAAAAACTAAATAGCAGTATTACATTTATCATTTCTGTAAGGTGCACCAATTCCAACGCCTAGCGTCCTAGGCCCTTTGTCCTGCAAACTTTTGTGCATTTCCCTTTGTACATAGAAGCTGTCTCAGCAGGCCAAATCAAGATTATGTCTAGAAGTGTGAAAGGCAAACTGTAAATTCTGAGCAGTATCTCATTCTCTAGTTGGACAGTGCTTTGCAAAACTAAGATTCAATTTTTAGTGAGACTTCAGAGAAGATCCTAATTACAATTAAGAAAAAATTATTTGTCAACATCCTAAACTTACAGCCTTTTTCTGGATACAAATTAAAAAAGTAAAAGACAGGTAGATTCTATACATGCAACTCCTTACACATGAAGTTGTTCCACTATTTGCTGTACTGTCTTTAATCAAAAACAAGACCATTCATTCTTTTAATTGCAAGAAGACATGCTATTCTATGAGTACAAAAGAAAGCTGTTTCTAAAGAAGTAAGTAGTCTGCAGTGGATTTCTAGTCTATATGTTCAAACTATGTCCAATTTTCTTTAAGAAGCAAAACAAGAAGACTGAAGTGGGGTTTTCTTTGAACTCAATTTCTCTTCCTTCCTCCGGTCTACTACGACAGAACGTCACATGCTTACTGAGATAACTTCACTTCTTCACATTACCCCATTGGTTTTGATGCAACTGTTCATGCAAGTAAAATTACTGACATTCCTAAGCATTTGAAGATTACATTTTAAATTTTGCTACTCCCAAATCTATCCATTGCATTTGCTTAGACTGTAAGTAATATTTTTCGAACACTTTAAGTTACTTTCCTTCTTTCCTTAAAAAGACCCTCCAGCAAAAAAACATACACAGCCCTAGAGAAAAATCAAGAACAACAATAAAAACAACAACTAGGGTGAATACACAGTTCTTTCACAGAAGGAGCCTGCAATAACAGTGTTTGCTCAGCACGTATCTGACAAAGCAGTTAGAAACCTTCTAGCTTAACAATTTCCTTAAAAGAGCTCAAGGTACAGAGGAGAAACCACACAGTCAGACGTGTGTAGCTGCCAACAGTATCCGATAACACCTGTGTCTTGGACTCATTAAAGATTTAACCAGAGAAGTCACGTGCATGCTGAAACATGGCTGACAACAGCCATGCTTAAAGCACATCTCAAAAACTTTGAAAAAAGGAAGCAAAATGGAGTTACCTTTGGATGAGGAGGATGGCACTTTCACCAACATTTCTTTGGCAGATGATTCAGGTAAGAAACTACAGTAATCTACTGATAAAATACAAATTCCACGGGCTGAATAATAGTACTGGGTAAGCACACAAATCTGTAGATCCTAATTACCAGGTACGATGTATTTTTAGCAAATGCCCTCAGGTAAACTTTTCTAGTTGTGTAGTTGAATAAGCCTTGTGATTAGTTAAGAAGTGGGATTTTGGGGATATGGAGGCTACCCCAGTTTTCACATAATGGCATATGCTAATGTACATTCATCATCTGAGCACATATAGCCTTTCACTGTTTAGAAAAAGTTACAGAAATGTTAACTTAGTAGTTACTAATATCAAAGAAAGTACAGATAATGCTGGTCTTTTCTCCTGAACATGGAATGTTAATCTCCTTGACATACTCAAGTGAGAGCTCACAAGCAGTGATGCAAATTAATTGGTAATGGAAATAAGCTGATCCATTTAAATGCCCACTATTAAGCATTTGATTGTTTTAAAAGAAACTACAAAAGCAAAGACCAAAGACTGTCCCCCTCCTTCTAGTTTATGGAATAAAAATTATTTGGAATGGGGAGTAGGATAGTCAAACACACTGGAAAAATGAACTGAGTTAATATGAATTGATAATAAATTATTTAGAAAGGTGTGGCCAGAGTATCAACTTGATCATGTCAGCATGGCTGCCATAGAGCTGTGCTAATTTACACTAGCTACGAATCTGGATTGCTTACTAATGAATAATGCAAGTTCTATTTGCCTCCCCTTCTTTTTCCAGCTAAATAATATTATTGTACATGGTATCTTTTCCTCCTAGATTAAAAAACCCATGCAGCTAGTCTTATTCTTAGAACACAAAAATTTTCTAGCAATTTCATATTAGTGTGATGGTGCTGAACTGGATGTTTGAGTCCTCTTCCTTTATACAGCACATAGCCTAATGGCATGAAGATGTGGTTGACCCAAACTATTTACAACAAGATTAATTGGCAAACCTTGGTCCAAGCTGTGCAGTAATGAAGGGTTCTCCTGACAGTGAACCTCCCTCTTTGCCTGTAGCAAGGTGTAGAACAGTGTGGAAAAGGCATCCCATGACACTGCTTCATGACTTGCTGCACAGCTGATAACAGATGAACAGATGAGAGGCAGCACACAGTGGCAAGATAGTCCAGTCTTTGCAAGGCATCCAGAAGTAGCTGAGTTTGGGATGACTCCATGATACTGGATAGGTGTTTTTGCCATATTGCTTGCTCAGTCTTTTGGAAGGTGCCAAGCTGCTTTGTTTAGAAGGCGAACACCCACTAGCCTCCTCTACTGCTTTAACCTCAGCACCCTTGCAGCCTGGAAAATGTTAATACACTTGAGAAAACAGAGGCACAAAGTTAAAAACTCTCTCCTTCGAGCACCAACTGACACTGGATACCAAAATACACTCACCAATGCCAAGCCCTGACAGATGTCACTGGTATAAAAGTAGCTGCTCAGCAACAGCGCAAATAAGACTCTGCTGCACCTCAGAAACTGAGCGCTTCAAATTTACTAGACTCTCTACTGCAGTAACACACCCAAGGTCAGAGAAAGTTCATGTTCACAACACAAAGACGACCATAAACAGGGCTTCTTTATGCAAGATCTGCTACCAATATCAGAGCTTTTCTGCAATTCACTCACTCTTCTGACGGTCACTCAAAAGCAGAGAGCTAAGTTCAGAGTAACTGAGAATAAGTGACATTGTCAGGCAAGCTTCTGAAGAGAATGAATTTTTTTTCCCAACTGTATGCTCACAGGTGTATGCTCATTTGTTGAGGTCCCGTTCTCACTCAGGACCTAAAGCACTACCAAAACACACACAATAGGTAAGGACACAGACAATAGCAGACCAGTGAAGTCCAGAACAACTTGATTTGGTTGGAACAAGTACAAACTAAGAACTACTCAAATTCTGGATTTGACAGAAGTCTGTAACTGTAAATTTGTACAAGGCTACAAAAGCCTTTTCCGGTTACTTGTGAAGAGTATTTCAAGGAAAAAGAATTAAGCCATTTGTATTCCTTTTCGTCTTCTTTGTGGCAATAATTGGTTAAAGGAGAAAACTGTATGGTTCAAATAGCAAACTCATCTCAGAAATATGTACAATATCTTCTTCTGTTAGTGAGGAGAGTACATTTCTATTCTAGTGATGAACAGTGAAGCCTCTGTCATGAGCCAGCTTACGCAGGCGCCTCCAGCGCCTGTAACACTGCCAAAAAGGAAGTGAAAGGCTTGTTGGTTTGCACTGTGTACCATGGAAAAAACAGGATGTACACCAGCGTTTTAGAAATAAAACATCTGAAAGTGTTCATCATTATCAGCAATGAGTTAGAATCTGAGTCCAGAGAAATGGAACTCTCCTGTAGTTTTGTAACTGCATGCATGTATGCATTCAGGTTAACTATTAATGGTGCCTTATAGTCTATGGAGATTCTTGCTATTTTAAGAAAAAATATTCTTTCAGTGAAACTGAATAAATTTAATCCTTTTGCCAGCAACGTCAGCTAGTTTTAGGAAAGCTTAATTGGAACTTAACATACAAGTAAGTACAGATAATTGCATTTGTAAAGTGAAACTTGTGGTCGCTGTAAATTTAAGATAGATGACAGTATTATGAATGCTGTCTCTGCTTTACCAAATGCCTTAAAAAATATAAAATGAATTAGTAAGAGCGAAAAGGATTGGCACCTGTTCTTAGTTACGTCCATGTCAGTTTTGACTTCAGGAGCTCTGGCACAGTACTGAAAACTACAAGCTCTCTTTACAACTCCAGTTACATAGACTGTAACTCTAATGCTTAGTTGGTGGCTGCCGGATTAAACCATGACACTCTTCAAGAAAAATCCACTTACCTGAAGTGAGTGATCTAGTGTGTGGTGTAAAAACAGTCTAATAAACCAAACAGTGGAACATTACTTAGGGCAGTGTTCAAGTATTTCCAGTAACAAAGAGAATCCTCACATTTCTTCTTTTAAACTGCAGAGTGGATATTAGTATGTTGTTATGCTGCTCCACAGGAGAAAACAATTAATTTCCAGTATTTGTGAATATTATTTAATTTTCTTGATAAGGTATATGTTCTCTAAAGAAGAGAGCAGTATGCCTGTAAACAAAACAAAAGCTCTGAGAACACTGGTTGTGCCCAGTCTCTCAGCCTTGTGCTGCATATTGCAAAGACTCAAAGTAAGCAGCCACATAGTGAAGTTGACCAATTTGCTCACACTTACACATAATTAGTATTTACCCCATTAATTTTCCCCCTCTCAATGAGTGCAGAAACCACTGAGAAGCAAATGCTGCCAGATGCCTGCCAAACAGAAACCACTCTTTAGAAGGGTTGTTCCAGGTTCTGCTAGGAACAGTCCCCAGACAAGACTTTCCATGTTAACAACTTAAAGAACAAAGAAACGACACTTTCTAACACAAGAGTTAAGAAAATATTACAGGCTGAAAAAAGCAAGAATTGCTATACAAGGGCTTGAATTGGCCTCCTCCAGCCAAAGGGGACACCAAGCACACCCTTAAAATGCAAGGTTACTCTTTGGCTGCTCTGCACACATGCACAGGTATGCCTTCCCTGGGACACATTCTGCATTATAAAAGGAATCTTAGTGTTAGGGATATACTTGAAATCCCTAAAGCATCAAAGTGCACAACAAATTTCATTAGTGATACATTACCCAATGCGAGACAGGTGAGGTAAGGAATTTGAAAAACAAGCAGGTAAGTCATGTGATATGCTAAGCTTTTGTTGGTTTTGCTTGATTTCTGATAAAAAAAATGCTTTAGGCTGTGGGCTTCTTTCCGTGGTGCACTGAGTTTGGGTTTTTTGTTTGTTTGTTTATATCTGATAACGTACCAGATACTTAGAATCCTGGGGTTGACGACTTTGCACTGGGAGAGAGAGGGAGTATTAGGAAGGCAAACCTTTTTAAGGGAAAGCAAGGTGAGCTAGGCGTCCTCTCTCTGTAGGATTTGCACCCAGCAGCACCTATGCAAGTCTTGGTCCCTGGCCTGTGCAGACCAGGGCTGTACACAGCAGGTTTGCTCCCTGCTGGCTCAGCACTTAGGAATACTTCTCTTGGAAACAGGGGGTAAAGGACAGCGAAAGAAAAGAAGTAACACGCATGTATCTTGCCGTGATAAGGAGTAGGGACATAGCCAGCTCACACAGAAACAGTTTCTAAACGCTGGGGCCCGCGAGCGTGGGCCAGCCGCACAGTACTAGGGTACAGGGATTCATACTGAGCACCTACAGTAGGAAGACGCGTTGTGTGAGATGCAGTATGTCTGAGCATACTGTGGCACAAACCCAAGGAAGCACCTGTGCAACTGTTTAACATTAACCTAGTAACGCACAGCACTATGCAGAATAAAGATGCCATCTGTTCTCTGCTGACAAGCCCCTCTGCAATGCTAACAGTGGAGGCTCAGATCAAGGCCATTTTCTCTAAAGGTAAATCAAAAAACCTCTCACACAGGCTAACTTCCGAAAAGGAGTTTCAGCCTGGTGCTCAAGCTCAAACATCTGAGTTAAGAATCAAAAGAAAGCACTGCAGTCAGAAACCACAACCATGCAAAGCAGAACGAACCCGCAACAGTGTACCTACCAAAATGGAAACAGTGGGTAAACCAGCAACTCTTCAAATTACTACTCTGGGTTGGCTACAACTGCACAGGAGCCAATATATCCAGTTTCCATTCTGTCCCAGAATTCTATGTCAAGGATTTTCCCACTTTGTCCCTTTGGGGACAGTTTAGACAATAAACTGCAAATGTAATGCAGCAAGCAAAGTGGAATTTCTGCAGTAAAGAGATGTATTCTCCCAGGATTAGCCCTCAATCATTTTTTTTCCCCTCTTATAATATAAAACACAGCAAGTCCTTCACCAGGTCAACAAGTTCTCCATCCATCTGTATCCACCCACAGACTCCAGCCACATTTTTCCCCCCCCTTAATCAAAGTGCTGGAGACTGTCTTGCTACAAAGAATTACGAGAACCTGTTGATTGCCAGGCTTGCCACCTAGCAAGTGCAGCAAGGGAGATCATAACAGGGTGAGAAGCACCTGTCATTTTAAAAACAGCAGTCAAGGAGAGTTATTAACTAGCTCCCAAAACCCAGCCATCACCTGAGAAGGCTGCTTGCAGGGATTAAGGAGGATTACAATGGAAGTGAAAGCAACAGACTTGTGTTCCAGATTTGAGGACTCTTACTTTATAAAATATGTTTTCAGAACTTGAACAGCATTCAGTCCAATCTGAATTTATCAGACTGTGAGGTTAAAAAAGTTATTAACACCATGTTAATAATATTGTGGAGGCACCCAGAAGATGTAGGGTATCAGAAAGAAAGACCTACTTTCTGAAGTGTGTTAAAGAATACAGTAGAAGACACATTTCCCAAATGCCTTTATCTTCCTGAGTATCTACATGGCATCAGATTATTTATTTATTATTATTTACAGTGGATATATTCCTGCAACAGACAGATACAATAGGGATGTATTTCGCTGCAACAGGTGGTTCAAGCTACATAGTACCTATAAAGTCACTACAGGCGACGCAGCGCAGTTACTTCAGTGATGCTGCTACCATCAGCTCAGGTCCTGCACGTTGTCCGTACCGTGGCTCACAGCCTGTCCCACGAGGCCCAACCTGCACAGCACGTTCTGCAAGGGTTGATCCCTCCAGGGAAGGAGCACAGAACCAGGAGCGTTGGTTTGGAGCTAACAGATGAGAGCGACTACACCAGGTTACGCAGGTTTCCGCATGACATGATCTCTAACGCTGCGGGACCCAGAAGCAAGGAGCTAAACCTGGGTTTGTTAGAATTAAAGAACCATAGAATGCTTTGGGTTGGAAGGGACCCTTAGAGGCCATCTAGCCCAACCCCCCTGCAGCGAGCAGGGACGCCTTCCACCAGACCAGGTTGCTCAGAGCCCCGTCCAGCCTGGCCTTGAATGTTTCCGGGGTTGGGGCCGGCCGGGCTGGGAGCAGCTGGGCCAGGTTTACGCAGTGCTGGAGCCCCCTCCCCAAGGGCTCCTCCTCAGCGGCAGCCCCGCGCGCGCCCGCTGCCCTGCGGCGCTCCCCAGGCTCTGCCAGCCCACACAGA